AGTTGAGGTTTAAAGCTCATTGCAGACGTTTATCGATTAAGGAAAATAATGTCAAGATCTTTTTGCATATTTTACAAGTATGTTATTAAATTTTTTTCTCATATATCTATAGCATTATTTTTCGTGTGTAGATTTTTGTCAATGAAATAACATTGTAATTGTCTGTAAGCGCTCTTAGCAGTGTAAATGGAAAGGAACATTGTGCGATTACACACTAGTTACTGAGGAGATCAGTGATTCGTTTTTGTTTTTTAACATATGTTCATGATAATTCAAACACCACTCGGTTACAGCACTATTTCAGTCGGCATCTAAGAAATGCGTACATTTTTAAGAAATACTTTTGTAGTATCTTAAATGTTAAATTTAATTCCTATGTTTTTGCCGTCTAGCTTTTTAAAGACTGACAAGTTGAAAATGTGAAAAATCTTGAAACAAGCTATTTAGAGGCAATGTTTTAAAAAGGAAGAGTAGAGAAGTTTAGATTCAAAAAATAGAAGCTATATGATAGTCGCTCTTTAAAAATATGTTTACGCTCGTTAAAGCTAACATAGAGCAGCTGTTACCAGTGCGAATTTCAGTAGCAGGTATGCAGTTCTTCATTTTATTTATTCCTTGTTAATACCTAATACGTGACTTTTATCGTTGATAGGATGCAGACTTATTGGTTTCTTCTAGAATAAGCTATTGAATAAAATTTGTTTATTCTGCAGTCTTACGTAAATGGGAGGAAACTGAAGTAATATCAAAATTAAGCATGAACTAGCAACTTTTCTCGTTACAAAAGAAAAGAGAAACAGTATTCTCTTTGGATAAACACAAGAAAAAAGAACTCGATAAAATACTCTACCTTCGTGAAAGCACAAGGGAATAAAAGAAAGCCGTAAAGGGTCACTGTAATCATGAAATGTAGTTTGACTCGTAATTGAGTTTTTCTTAGCTTCCGCTTTTTTATTTTAGAAGGCAAAACAACTTTAATTGCATTCTTTCAATTTTCAACAACGTTAGAGGGGAAAACATATAAAATTGCATAAAAAAAGTTTCGAAATTTGAGACACATATTTTAGTTTATTTTGTCACTGTGCGTCTATTTTGTGTTTGATAAAAATTAAGTTTTAAATTTAATCCGTCGAGCTACTGCAAAATAAAATTGCTTAAGTTTTTAACTAATTAAAAGGATTTTATCGCTTTATGCTGTTTTAATTACTTGTATATGCAGTATGCCAACTTTTACAGGTTTTCTTAACACGATCTTGTCTTAACTAACACAAGAATGTTTAGGAAATGTACACTAGACGTTATAATTGGTATAGTGGCCAACCGCCCAACCGGTATAGGTGGGTATTGTTATCGGATATATTTCTGCAGGTTACATAATTATGTTTGCGCTTAGAAGCGTCGCTGACTGCCGTGAAGGGCCCGGGTTCAAGTCCCGTAGAAGGTATGAATGTTTCTAACTATATAGTGTCGGTGTGGCATGGTGGCACTCTAAATATGCGGCGAGTCGAAAGTCCTCTCGTGTGGTTTGGTGGAAGGGAAGAGGGGTGGGACCCTCAGACCCGTTCCCCCTCGTGTGTTCTTCGTCAAAATTGGGGGCGGAACAGAGCAAAAATCGCATTATGTCATCTGTAAGGTGCTCACAGCTGTTGCCAACGGCAGGCGTAAACTACCTCTCCTTGCCACGAGGTATTTCGTGGGCTTGAGCAGATGTTATTGTCAGATCGCGACTTTATGTTAAGTGAGCAGTAACATGTGAAATATACACACTTTTGCGAAAAAAATCGAGGCACCATGGAGGAAGTGGTTGTTTTTGATGAAATTGAATATGCGTATAGCTCATACACAGATAATAAAATAATTAAAAAAATAAAGGTCATAGTACTTGTTTACGGCTCACAATCACCCATTGAGTGTTAAAATTAGTAGTTGGTCGAACCGACTCTGACGGCAATCCATGCTTGAATTCGTCGAGGCAATGAGTGGTTAGAGGTTCCTAATGTCATCCTGCGATACATTCTGCCAGGCATTCATCAGTTGTCGCTCCAAATCTGCGATAGTTTGTGGTGCCCGAATCTGGCGGTCTACTATGTCCAAGACATGCTAGATTAGTGAAAGGTCTGGTGACCTTAATGGCCAAGGAAGAGTATCAACCGCACGGAGACAGTCCAGAGATATGTGAGCGGTATGTGGCCTGGCATTATCTTGTTGGAAAATGGCCCCAGAATGGCGTGCCATGAAGGGCAATGCAAACGGCCGCAGGATGGTATCAACATATTGTTGAGCTGTTAAAGATGTGCGGAGGATGACTAAAGATGAACATAAGAAATAGCGCCCCACACCATCACACCAGGGGTTATGACTGTATGCCTTTGTAAAACAAAGGTTGATTTTGACCGCTGGCTCCGTCCTCTCCAGACACGAACACGGTGGTCATCTGTTTCAAGAGTGAAGCGGGATTCATCGCTGAACACTACACGATGCCAGTCTGATGGCAGCCATGATGACCGGCTGCGACACCACTCCAGACGACTCCGCCGGTGTTGTGGGGTCAAAGGCAAACATCTTAAAGGCTTCTGTGAGCGTAACTCCGCCTCCGGCAAAGCGCTGTGAGATGGTGGATGGTACCACGGGAGGTATACACGTGGCTGTGGTGCGTTGAATAGTCGACAGTGATACCGTTGGGGCGGTTCAGGCTTGGCGAATAATCATCCTATCTTTCCTCGCATTTTCGCTCCTTGGCTTTCCAAAGATTCCAAAAAATCGAGAAAAAAATCGAGAAATCGAGAAATCTTTCCAAAGATTTCGTCGGCAATTTCCTTGTAGCAACCATTGCTGCCAACATCTTTGCATCTTTGTCTGTACGCTGCACGTGGCGGCTTGTTGCTTGGTGTGACCACCCAACTTCACGCAAACCTACAGTGCGACCACGTTCGAAGTCGTTTAGTTGTCTGTAAAGTCTTCGATATCGTCATAATGGCATCTTTAGTTGCTTCTTTACGGCAGTACAATGGCAGCAACAAAAACGAAATTGCCGCCTCTATTACTGGTTTTGTACTTTGCGAATTGCGCACTAGAAATGTGCGTTATGATCGCAATTCCTGTTTATTTGCCTTGAAACTTTGATCATTTGCATGTTCGATCAAGATGTTTTTGCATACCAAATTTCATCACGATCGCAAATGTCTTTCTTGGTGCTTCGATTTTTTTTGCAAAAGAGTGTATTAATGTTAGTGGTATTGTCACGCAATACGTAATGAACGTTCTATGATGATTGTACTAATAACGTGCAGCCAAAGCGTTCTGAATTACAGCTACATATTACGACAAAGTGCAGCAACAGCATGTCTGATAAAACATACTAGTATTTCCGGGTTATGTGTAAAAACATAACTCAAAGACGTACGCGCAATGTGTTACAGGAAGTATTCTAAATTACATCTACATGTTGCATTCTATAATGCACAATAGTTAGTCAGATATTGCTTATAGTAGCAATTTTCGGGTAACGTGTAAAGAACGTTAAAAATGATTAAGTTTTTGGTTAGGGGGAAGTTAGATAATTGTTCTAAATGTTGAAACATACATCCTAAGAATGCGACTATAACACACACCATATCAACGTGAGGTATAGAACTCTCTAAATCCAAGTAACACCGTCACAAAATGAACGTCAAGCTCTTTGAACGTACTCTGACAATTGCTGCATGAACACTGTATTTGACCAAATTTTGCAGTTAATGATAATTATTCCAAATCTCCAGCACAAAAAAGGTAAATGGAATAAAATTTGTTTTTAAATAGCCAGGTGTACCGTTGCCTCATATGAAGGGACGGACAGGTGACAGGTGAGAGCAGTTCGGACACCCGGGCGGCTTGCATAGACTAATCGGGTATCTTTTGGATTTTGCAGCTATCTAAAGCTACATTCCGAAATTAAGGCATTATATAGTTACACAAGGACAAAGTATCAGATTATTATGCGCACGTTGCAAAGATCAGTATCAGATTAATCTGCACACGTTGCAAAGTTGTAGAATATACAAAATACAGGTAACAGGCCTGAGAATACAGCACATTTCATACTACTTTTGATGGAATAACATTATTCTAAAAGCTCATTGTTGCGGAAATTTTGCTGTACTCTAAAAAACATACCAAAAATAATTTTGTAATTAAACATTCTCCTGGTTACATCGCATGTTAACACATTGCTACACATACTCGATACACTATACATTTCATAGTATGCATTGCATTGATCATTGTAATACAAGCATGCCTTCTCCGGAATTTGATAGCCCATCGCTACGGTAGTCAGGGTCATTAACCATTATATCGGCTGGGCGGCAGAGTGAAAATGTAAAGTCTGGTAAAAAAGACTGTCACTCACAGATGGCGTTGTGAAACAAAGCTTTTTATTTAAAAATTAATAGCGGACTTTCAAATCTTCCAAGATAAGTGTTATAGTAAGATTCCCATAAAGTGAAAGAAAATACGCTCCCTGCAAAAAGTTATCTCATACATTCCCGATGCACATAAAACATTTTACGAAGACGTTTGTCCGTTTAACTTCTTTCTCTTAATGATGCCATTTGCTGTTAAGAAGAATAGACATTATAGTATCAATTTTTAGTGCTTGATTTTGGCACCTTTATTTAGTATGTGCCTGTGATCTGTAAGATTTGAATATATTTCTTAATTCTGATCATGTTTTTATAATTTAAGTAGCCCTTTTTTATTTGCTTTCTATCATTAGTTTGGAAAAGGGATACTTATTTTCTGATCATAAGTTTATTATTCAACTCCTGGTTGCCAAATAGCGTTACATTCGATTGGACATGAGTTACAAATGTTTTTTTACGAATTAGTATGTTCTTAAAAAAATCTGAATTTCTTCTTTCTACAGCATACACGATTTTAGGGTTATGCTCTTTTTTTCAACTGGCTATCAAATTGTGAAAAATTAAATTAATGCACGTTCTATTTTTGTTTTTTTCTAGCTATAATCGAATACGTTACTTGCCGTATGATATGTTCACAGAAATGCCGAATTTACGAAGCTTGGAAATGTCGAATAACAGGTTAACAACCTTAGACGAGCAAATATGGTCCGGAATCATGTCGCAGCTAACCAAATTGGATGTTTCAGGTAGGTTAGTGATAAATTATTTTATAAACTTGCAAGCAGTAATTTTTTTCCATATCAATACATAATTCCGCATTGCCTTTTTTAACGTAAAATCTTGCTAGACGTAAAGCCAGATTTATTATTTTGACATAGTACTATGAGAAGAATTAATTGTTTATTCTGTTTTCTCTTTCTGGTATTTCTTTATTACGTTAACGTTTGTTGCTTGCTATTATTTCGTATTTTAAACAGTACATACATTGCACTCAGTTATAGTCGGTCATATTTACTACGTTACATGAACATACGTATATACGTATTTTATGATACATGCATTTATATTTGTTAAAAACATTGAAAAATCGAACGAAAGTGAAATGAAGAATTTGATGAAGTATTTTTTTATATTTCAACTTAGATTTATTTATGTGTGATGTATAAACGAATGTCTGAGAGATAAACCCAAAATATTAATTCACCATTATAATGAACATGGGTTAATAGATTTAGATATCTATGTTTTCGGGTATATTTCAAGTTAACAGTTTAAAACTCAAGTATTCGAAAACAACGTAATTACACTAAAGATAAGATGCTTGTTTTTATAACTGGTGTAATGCGGCAGCTTCTGAGAAAGCTGATAAATCGAGCTGGAGCTAAGTGTTACAAAATATGAAAGCGATAATAAAACAAATTACAAATTTCAAATTAGGGCTTCCAGATGCCCATATTCGGTGGAGGATTACGTTATTCAAAATTTGATAGCTCTGGGTACCGTTGTTATACCACAATGCGAAACACATACATACATTTATGCAGATTCTTCATTTTTTAATTTATTTAAATATAAGACAGGGAAATAACATTTTTTGGCAGCAATTTGAAAAGTGAAGCGGACATTTAACGTTTACATAACGAAATTAATATCCTTTCTGGACTAACGCCCTCTGGGCCAAAAATAAGATATTATTAATTTTCATATAACAGAACATTAAATTTTCAGCACGCACTTTCCGGTATCGACTGGACTTCTGTTTGAAAATTTGTAGGCTATTATTAAATAATTTACTGTTTCTAAGTGTTTCTGAGATATATACCTTGTGCGCAATAACTGCTATGTTATTGCTATATGTGTCTTATTCAAGAAAGCTTAAAAATAAGATAACAAGAAAATTAATGTGCTTAATTTAATGAATATCTTTCTTTGAAATGCGAAATTCTATACTTATCTTCATTTCCTTACATTTCAGATAATGCTTTTGAATGTGACCGCATGTTTAAGTGGATGGTCAAATCAAAGAAACCAGTTCTGCTCGAAGGAAATTGTGAAAAACCTGAAGAAATAAAAGGCAAATCTCTCCGCCTTTTGAAAGAATCTGACTTAAACTGACGTCAATAAAATTAGTATTGATGACTTATAATGAAGAAATATAAATAAAATAATTTATTTATTTGGACTAGATTTATTTATTTGCACAAAAGAAATTTTTATAGCATGAAATATAACGGGATCCAGAATTAACTAAGATATAACACATAATCCCATTTTACTGAGCTGCATAAGAATGCCTAAATTAATAATAAGGCTTTAGTGAATAAAATGAGAAATATATTTAAATATAGCATTGAAAATCAAAACATGCGTGATATAAATTTTAAACTAAACATATTACTTATTAAAGCTATACGATTTCTGAGCTTCTTAGTTATAAATTGAGTGTTTGTTAGCGTAAAATAAGAATAAGACTATCCAAAAGAGATTAAGAATCACAGGTAAAAGAAATATTAGCGAAAAGTACCGATATGAATTATGTTTTAATTGGCATTTGGTTTTAGCGAAACATAATAAGCGAAAAGAATAAAACAAAATTTTAATTGCTTAGTAATAAAGAGCACAAACAGAAATTTGGAAGATTAAATAGGGAAAAAATGAAAAGAAAGCGCATTACACTAACGAATAGAAGCTAAAACCTTGCAAATAAAAGAAACGTAATTAGGATCTTTTTTACAATCATTGATTTTCCTTTAGAAAATACTGTTTCGAATTTTGTATATATGTAAATAATTTTAGTGAAATTATATGTGAAATTGTAATGTATTTTGTATAATGTAACATGAAATGCTTGGGAAAAAAAAAAAAAAAAAAAAAAAAAAAAAACTTTCTAGGAAAAAAAATAAGGTTACAGGGACAAATCTATTTAACACTGAGGTAAATGGCTATCTCGCTAAACTGGCTAGATATCGCCAAGCTGGCGACGGTTTTGGCGACTAATTTTTATCGAGAAATTTAGCGAGAAATCGCCAAAAGTCGCAAACTTTTAACTCATTTGGCGATATTTTGATGCGGGCCCTGGATAACTGCAACTGGTACTATAATTGAATAAATATAATAGAACCCTATATGTAAATGTAACTATATCCGACCCGGATATGTAATTTTAACCGTATACGCCTTTCATTAATTTCTAGGAATGGAAGGTACTAGAGATTTCTTGGTGGACACGGGAAAACTATATAAACTATATAAGACCATAGAGAGCCTCAGTTCTCAATTTTTAGTTCAGAGCTGATTCGGAGTACTGAGAGATCTCCGTGAGTGCTTTGTCTTTTCAATACACTTTGCATTTAACGCTCTTCGTAGTTTGAAGTGTAACTACTAAATGTGTTCTGTGATGCGAGAAGAGCTGTTCGAGTACTCTTGTGGAAATTTCCAGACTTGTAAATTGTTTCTTTTTGGAAAATAATTGTTTTTTTTATCAAGCTATCATCGGTTCTTTATTCATTCAAGCCACATACAAACACGTACGTAAGCAACAACAATTTCCACGACAAATGTGATACTTACAAAAGTAAGTAATTAGCTAATTAGATAAAACTTTAAGACTAAAAGTTTATTAAAATTTATTTGTTATTATTGCTCTTTTATGAGTAGTGCAAAGAAAACAGGAAGCAGGAATTAAAAGCTTTTTTGAGATTTGCAAATCTTAATGCTTTAATGTTTAACGTCTTAAATCTTAATGGTTTAGAATATAGAACTTCTTAAATTTAAAATCGTAGTTTTTATAAATCAATTAATTTCGTGGTAGCTTTTTCCAGTAACGCAGAGAAAATGCGAGGTTTTTCTGAAGTTCGAATTTAGACTGAAAGACTAAACTTGTAGAGAAACCAAAAATTTCAACACAACCTATATGTGAGTTGACGTCTAGCAAAAGCTTAAAGCCGATTTAGGTAAGTCTAAGATCCACGCCAGAAATAGCAAGAAGGTCAGTGTCGCTATCAAAACCGCACACCTTAACTTGAAAAACTCTATTCCTATATACACATTAATTAATTTGCCTTCTGGTGCGAGCCGACGAAAGTAAAAGTGACAGTAAAGGTAAAAATAATAAGGTAATGGGTTAATTAAATATAAAACCTAACGAATTCTTTAAGTAGATAACCGAAACATTTTAAACTCGGGATAAGCCATTATCTCAATTAAAAGAACTTACTGCAATTACCTTCTACAATTAAGATTTTTATCATTGCTTCAAATTTCTTCTTTAAAAAGATCTAGCCCTCATCATCATAATTTCTCATTAACAATCTGGCAAGCAATTCATGTGACCATTAACAGTTATCATTCTATTACATAATCTACGATTTTTATTATAGCGATCCAACTTGACTAAAGGCATGTCCTGTCAGATTCTGTAGATAGGCAGTTTCTATGCTGGTCTGGTGTAGCGAAGGCATGAGTTGAATATATAATTAACAAAGTGCATGAACAGAATGAAATAAGATAATATTGTATAATATATATTTAAAATGAAGTGTTTCTAGCTTATGCCCAATGAATAAAATTTTCAGAGAAGGAAATTGCATATGGAATCAGAGTAAGTTAGTTATTGAAAATACTTAGTTAGTTACCAGCCAGTGACCATACGTTGATATTAGTTTAATAATCGCAAAAATACTAAACATGAATAAAAGACGAAATTTATAAGAGTTTGTTGGCGAGATTAAAAGGAAGCAGATGAAAAATTAATACAATTTAATGAAGATCATATATTCTTAGAATATTCCCGTGCTGTGAAATGAATCAGGACTGGTAAAGCAGAATAAGTGTTTTAAGTACTATTCATACCGTCCTTCACTAAACATATTTATGAGCAGTTTCCATAACGATGCCATTAACTGCGTATCTAATTCTAAGCATTCAAAACTTCAAAACAATCATTCAGTTTTCTTGAATGTGACTTTAATGATTCCATGGTTATACCCACGATAAAAATTTATTCTTTCAATAACAAACTAATGTACCTTTTTTTTCTCCTCCTACAACAATCGGAAAAAGAAGGCGTAAATCTTAAGATTCTTCTTTAGAGCAGTAGAGATCTGCGGCAGTTAAGCAATAACCTCAGCAACGACAGAAGACAAAATACTTGTATTTTTGTGTTTCTCTACCTTACTGTTAACACATCTTAACGATGAAAATGTAGTAAATACTGGAAATCTATATTAAATGAGTTCTTAGCATACTGAACTTGGTATATAGTAGCTTAGCATGCGGAAAGTCAAGAAAGGTTTTGAGGTTACACAATATAAATTTTTTGTACATTTACACAATATAATTCACAGCAAAATATATTTTTGTGAGAAGGAAATTTAACTACCTCATCGTATAAGCTATATAGCACATTATTTCTTCACATCTTTGGCAATCAAAGGTTTAATCGCTTTGGCAATCGTGCATTCAAGCATGGATAGACAGAATGTAATTACAACTGATTTTCTGCGTAACAAATTAATCAGATTTATGCCCCTGAACAACGACTGAGTTTACATACTGTAAAATTTTATTTATTTAACAAATCAGGTCTATAATCACAATAAACGTGGGTTATATACAGGTATATAACTGATATAAATTAAGTTAAACTTCCGTTCCGGTACTTTCCGAAATAAATCAATGTAAACAGACATAAATTACATTAGAACGCTTATTATTGAAGAAGAGACTAAGAAACTATAAGTAATCTATCCAATAAATGAATCAAGCTGTATGCTGCTATTTTCGGCCTAAATAAGATTTGCTGAAGTCGTAATACGGAATGAGTAAACAAGTTACTACGAGTATTTCTCGATTTTGTGGTTTCTCCTGTCAAGAAATTCTGTTTTCTTACTTAGGATAAATGAAATTCTCCATCAAACTAATCCTAGCAATACTGACAGCAAACTACTGAAATGTTACGCAAAATTATTATGTATGTAATTTGAAGTTAATCTGGAAGAAAATGATTGCAGTTGAGTTTCGATAAGATGGAACCGGAAAAGCTCTCCTTCCCTCCCCCGAAAAAATATTAATTGAAAATTCTGCTTATCAAGAAAAGGCTTCGAAGGAACACGTATTTGACTATTTGAGGGAAAAATTTATCGAGGAAAGAAAACATTAATTTCGAACTCTGGATTTTGATTTAACAAAGTTCTAACTCTCCTGCGCAGATAAAGTTTATATAAAAATGTCTAGTCTAAAAGTAGAAGCAGTTCTTTCATTCCTAATAAATTTTAAAGGCAAAAAAATGCATTAAACATTTTCTTTACAGAGCTATTATTTTTAATACATTTATTCATGAGAAGCATTTTTTTCTCTCTTATCATGCACATGTGTTGGACTAGTGATATCTAACAGGATAATTAGATGCAGCTAAAAATAAGACTTTTTCTTTTCTGGTTTTGTAATTTAGTGTTTTAATTCATTCTTGCTGATATTTTAACTCGTTAACTCTTGTGAAGAAAGTAACTCCCATGGATGGCTTAAATTATTTATTAATTCAAATTAGAATGCTCATAAATTTTAATTACACCGAGATCAAAATAAAGTTAATGCTAATTCATGATTCGTAAAAGTGTAAACACTTCCTGCAATGAAAACGACACTAAAAGGATTAAAAGCTTTCAAATCAAAAGAGATTCCATCAGAATTTGGTCATACATCCGAGCTGTGAAATGAATAATAAAATTATTTAAAAGTAATTTTATTTTAGTTCATTTATTTATCTATTTATTTTTTGCAGTGATAAAAAATTAAAAAAAAAATGTAAAACATGAGTTTTATTTGTAAAGTAATCATTTTTACTAGTAAAAGATATTGTAGTTACGCGGTGCTTTGAGTTACCGTATAAATTTTCAAAATGATGCTTAATGAAATATTTTATAAATGTCTCTATGAGAAAGTTAACGCATTTTTTTCAACTTTTAAATATATAATTTGTAACTAGGAAACTACCAGTGTGTATAATATAATATGTTCTAACTAATTTTCTTTTAGAATTATTTTCTTTTCGATTATTAAGTAATCTGTTTTGTATGAGAACAGAATGGATCTTGCAATTATTCATAAACCATAATTAACAGAATGAGTGAGTAAACTTTGTTATTTAATTTAAATAATGAATTGAAAGATCAAGTTAAAAAG